ATTTTTTTGATTGAAATAATTATTTTTTTGATTGAAGATGCTTTTTGTTTGATTGAATCATAAAAACACAAATTTACCTCCACAGGTTTTTATCTCTTTAATAAATGTGATTCAAGCAGTCTTTATTAGACATTGTTGAGGACTAGCAGTGTTTGTTATAAGCTGGGACAAAAGTTTAGAACAAGGGTCGCATAAACATCTGGTAAGAACATTCTGGAAAAGTTAACATCATCAAACAGTCCACAAATAGGTTTAATAAGTCTGTATTGGGTGGTCTTAAATTTCCAGCCCAATTCTTGGAAGAGACCACCCTTCCTGGATACGTAGAATTTGTGTTTTGAAAACAGTTTGGGTGTAAAAGGGTCTGGTTTCTAAATACATCAGATCAGTTTTGGATGTCTTTTCTGTCGGTTGTAACGAACTGCTGAACTCAAACTCCCTCTTCGGCTGGCCAAAAAGCGACGTCTCCTCATCTTTTTTTCATCTTGACAACAGAGAATTGTTGCCTCTTCAACATGAGAATACAGTATATAAATCAGTGTTTGTGTAAAATAAACCAAATGTAATGTACAAAATCTTCTCAACTGTCTCCTGGAGTTTGTTGACAATTTGATCAATGAGTTACAGCAATAATCATTTTTCTAATCACATTGCAGCTCTCTCAACTCAACTGTTATCAAATCAAACTGTCAGGTGCCTAAAGATTCCCACCCCKATAATGACAACCAAGGCTTGATCTTAGAAGTCTTCAGTCAACTGGAGTCAGAGTCACAAATCTGCAGATTTTATTCCAAGCTGCTACACTATTTGAGAGACTTTGAATAACAAGATCGTTCTTTCTTTAAATGTTTGAAACAGAATCTGGATCTTAGTCTGCAACAACCTGAAACATGCCAGATGGAAACCTGGTTTGCACTCCATGAGTTTCTGTCCTCTCCAGACACTCCAYCCAGCCACAGGACTAACTGTGCAACCACAGCTGCAACACTGCTMTTCTGTGGTCAGTTCGGTTGTACTGAGAATGCTTTTAAAGACATGTGGGTCAGCACTGCCCCCTACTATTGAGAAGAGAAAAGAAAAGTGCTTTTCTCAGAGTGCACTAACTGGGTTTAAATGGGCTCCTCTGTCCTTACTGAACACTCACTGCCCTTTTACACAAACATAAATCTATAATCTCAGTTTACACAGAACCAGTATTACTGATCCAGTGTGAGCAACTGAACAATGAGTCTAAAGAACCATTCCTGAATTTAAAACACAATATTTGCCCAGGGCAATTCAGGCTGTGTTGAGAACTCAGGCTGAAGCTGAGAGTCATTCCCAATGCATAGTCTGATTGTGACATCTCAAGGGAGTGGTTGAAGGTGAGCCTGTGATTGTAAAGTTGCCAAGAGGTGAAGCACCCATGACTGCCTCAACCCTCATCTGGGCCCTTGAGCAAGACTCTTAATAAAATGATCCTATAGCTATGAACAGCAGTGGGCAATATGTTCAAGATTCCTTTGAATGTGTTGTAGCTGTTTTGCTCAAACCTCAATAATACCAATTTGCACGATTTTATGCAGTTTTGTAAAATATGCATGATCTGTTACTGCTCATAATATAAAATGTACCAATTTTATCTCACTATTTGGACATCTGAGTCATATCATTTTGCGTATTATAAATGTCAAATAACAGTTGTATCATTGTGGCCATCTTCAAATAGGGTGAAAAATTAAATGGTGTAGATGTATAGTTTTACTGAGGAAAGTGTTTGATGCACATAAATCTTTTGTGCATCTGCATATACTTTTTATCACCATCTCACCCATTTATTTTAAAGCCTTCAGCAGGCAGGTGGACATTACAGGCTGGGTGATATGGACTAAAAAATGCAACAAGATAATTTCTCGGTTTTATCATAAGTGATATACAGTATATGTATGTGTGTGTGTGTGTGTGTGTGTGTGTGTGTGT